GTGGAATTAACCAAAAATAGAATCTGAAATGTTTTCATTTAAAAATCAAAAGATTTTAGGAGCCAACAGGTGGTGTGGTGAAGGCATTGGACTCCCACATGGCTGACTGCAGTTTGAGTCCCAGACTTGGTAACTTGAAAATCATGCCAGGCACATATGTGTGTGTGCCCAGAATCCTGAGAGGAGAATGGGGGAGAAGGGATTATGTGTGGCCATTTCTCCTGGGGGTGATCTCACTTTCTCTTTCACTGTCTCTCTCTCTTTCTCTCTCTCTCTCTCTGGCAAGCACACATGCCCTGTGGCAAAAACCCTTAAAAAAAATTTAAACAAAGAAAATCTTTAGAAATAAGGTTATTAGAAAAATCATTTTTTATTGTTTTCTTATTGTAAAATAAGATGCCATGTCATTTTAAGGCAAAAAAGAACAAGAACATGGGTATGGATAATTTTAAGAGTCAGTTTGGCTTTCTGCTAAAAATACACAAGAACCCATCACCACAAAAATTCTGATTATAATATAGAGGAGTACATAACAATTTTATTTTCCTTCCTCTTTTGCTCTCTCTTGTTCTCGCTCTTCTTCCTTCTTTCCTTCCTTCCTTCCTTCCTTCCTTCCTTCCTTCCTTCCTTCCTTCCTCCCTCTCTCCCTTCTCTTTCTCTCTCTCTTTCTTCTGAGCGTACTTCTGTTTGCCAGAGAAAGAGAGAGAAAACCTCCCTATGGAGTATGGTCACCCCCTTTCCTCCATTTCTCCTTCCCTCCATTTCTCCTTCCCATTGTGGAGTCACATGGATACCTTATGTATCTCTCAAGCTGTTGAAACCAAGTCTTGAACTGTGATTGGCCATCTGGGACTTGTCTTCATTAACCACTGTGTTATGGGGCCAACCCCCAAATTTTCATTCATACTGTTAAAACAGTAACTCTTTGAAAAGGCACTTTATATTCAAGTAAATTATTAAGTATTCTGTGTTGCTGGTATATAGAAATTACTGTCTAAATCAGTGCTGCTCAAAGGGAGCAGCATAGTCTTTGCAGAGGTCACTGTAGAAGTGTGGGAGGTGGGAGTTGGGCTCAGATTGTTAAAGGATTTCAAGTGTGCCACCTGCAATCAGTGGGTGCAGTCCTAGGATGCTTCCTGTCCTGGAGTGCAGTGGAGAGTCTGATAACTCAAGTCATTACCCACAACCTGCAGGACTTGTTAATGTCCCACTAGATTCCCTTTTGTTTTACAAACAAACACAAAGGCTCTTTTGCATAATTTTGATGTGTACTGACACTAAAAATTAAAGATACCTTAGTTTGTTCATTCTGTTGAGCTTTGTTTATTTCAGAAAGTGACATCATTGAGAGCAAAACTGCCATTTACTGTACCACCACCCCTCCCCTTCATGCATAGCATTTTTAGTGATGACTCAAAAAATAGGTCTAAGCAGAACCAGATGGCAGTGCAGGAACAAAATATATTTTGTGAGGCAATCCCACATGGGAGGACCCCAGTTCAAGTCTGAAGACTACGTTGAGTACACTGGGTACACACTTGTTCGTAAACTGGGCCTGACTGAGGTTGGGGGCGGATTGTGCCACCAGGATCATTTTGGAGGACTGTTCTTTCTCTCTCCTTCCCTCTCTTCATTTCCTTCTTTATCTTTCTCCCTCTCTTTTTTTCTCTCTCCTTTGTTCATGGAAGAAAAAATTACAAAACCTTATTCAAGTTGAAAATGCTAAATGTGATTTGGCAGGAGACACTTAGAATATGCTAAGAAAGTAAAAGATGAATTTAAAACAGGGATATTGGGCTAGTGCCATGGCTCAGTAGTGAACTTTCACTCACAAGAAGTCAAATCCCACATGGTGACCCCTTATTTAGCCTTTTAAACATGTTGTGCACACACATGAGTGGCCAAGAACTGTGAGCAGGAAGTCTGCAGGAAGGGAATTGTGGCATGACCTGACAGTGTGGGGGTGCTTATCTCTAGCTGTCTCTCTTTCTTTCACATGTGTGTGCATGTGCTCTAGTATAATAAAGAACCAAAAAGGTTATTTAAAAAAAAAACTTTGAAAGTAGTGATATTAATAAAAAAAATTCAGCACTCAGATAATTTTGCCCAAACTGAAGTTAAAGAATGCATTAATTGCTCCTTAAAGAAGTTTAATTTTTTTTTTAAGAGAGAGAGATTTTTTTATAGGGTGTTTATGCTTGCCAGAGGGACAGAGACACAGAAAGTGAGAAATAACCCCTCAGGGGAGATGGCCATGCCACAATCCCTTCTCCTCCATTCTCCTCTCAGGATTTTGGGCATGCACACACATGTGCCTGGCTTGAGTTTTAAGTCACCAGGTCTGGGACTGGAACTGTGGTCATCTACGTGGGAGTCGAGTGACATAACCATTATACCATCTGCTGGTCCCCTAAATTTGTTTAAATTTTATTTTTTTTCTTTTTTTGAGAGAAAACAAAAATCTCATGGGATAATAACAAAAGGATGCACCTGGACCTCCTTTAGCAAGCAGAGTGAGCCAATAAAATTTGGCATGATCTGGATTGATGAGGTATGGAAAATCCTAAGGGCTTAAATTGACACCGTGTCTGTATTGATAACTCTACCTCTAAAAGGCCAACTCATGAGAATGACAAGTGAAAAAGTCATCAAGTCATATACCATTTCTCCCACAGAAAAATGCTTAGATGTTTGGGTATGTAAAGAACATGTAATTAACTGGGTACATTTTCACATTTTTCTAACAATAGCTTTGACATCAGAGTCAAAGTTAACTTTAGAATTTTAGCAACAGACACCTAAATCTGAGGGTTCTGAATTACAGATATGCTCTATTTCCTCCCTCTTCATTTATAAATAGGCCCTGAGAGCACTCTGCTAGCCAAGGGTGATTTTAACTAAGAATTAAATACCAAACTGAGAAGACATTGCAATCCTGTTGAAGGGAGGAAACTAACTCAACACCCACTGTATGTCAGACATATATTATCTCTAATTTGCAGAATGGCACATAAGATAAACATTATAATTCTCATTTTATAGATTATGAAACTAATTTTTTGAGAGTTTTTTGCTATAGGGCACATGCACTCACAAAAAAGACAGAGAGATAAAAAGATAGAAAGTGAGAAATCACCTCCCTCCTAGTGGGGATGGCCACGCCTCAATCCCTGCTCCTCCGTTCTCCTCTAGGGATCTTGGGCATGCACACACACGTGCCTGGCATGAGTTCAAATCACCGGGTCCAGGACTCAAACCGCAGTTGACTACATGGGAGTCCAGTGACGCAGCCATTACTCCAACTGCTGCCCCCAAGAAACTAAATTTTTAATTTAACTTTATTTATTTATGTAAATTTGACCAGAGAGGGACAGAGAGAGGGAGAGAGAGAGAAAGTGAGAAAGCAAGCCTCTAGGTCTAGGACTTGAACTGCGGTCAGCCATGTGGGAGTCCAGCGCCCTTAACTACCACAGCTCCAGCTGGCCCCAAGAAACTGATTCTTTTAAGATGACCTGTCTGAGATCACTTGGTTAATATAACAAGTCTGTATTCTTCTGATTCCACTGTCCCCAGTCTTTTTAGTGGACTACTAAGATACCCTCAGATTAGTTGATGTGGTTCTAGGGTTACCATTGTTGTATTTTCCAAATGTCACCTGTGGTCAAGGCACAGTTGGAGGAAAAACTCATAACATTTGGGAAGCTCGTGTTTGGTTCTCTTTTCCTTCCATTTTTCCGATCTCCCCTGAAGGTCCAACTCTATTCCAGGCATAAATATCCCCAGACTTCTTTCTAGAAGCTTGTGGATTTCCACAGCATCATATTTAGTCAGAATAATTCTCAGAGAACCCTCTCACTATCAAGTCTTCCCCATCCAAATTCCAGTTTCTTAGGATTCTTTTCTCTACTTGATGCTGACATGAAGCTACAGTTTTGCAGACAACTATGCACTAGTTGATTAGCCTGCCAGGAGACCAGGCATCTTAACCAAGATGTGAATCCACCTAAGAACTGTACAGAGAGGTTGGAGTGATGTTGCAGATGTCAGGCTCTAGGGTCTTGTCGACTATGAGGGGTACCTTTTTCTAGGACTATCTACACTGTGATGGAGATCAAAGCCTTACGCTAAGGATGCAGAACACTGATGATACCTTTCAGGTCGGTGAGTTTAAGGGGAACGATAAAGGGGGAACTGGGCCTTTTGGGATCTCTTAAAATGTACTAGACCAAAGTCTTCTGATGATGAACCAATTTTTGATCAAGTGTCCAATAGTGAGTTCTAGCACAGCACAGACAGCAACAGGGGACTAGACTGGGCATTGTTACAGCTTCTGGGTGACAGAGATGTCACCTATCTCATTGGGCACAAAGAGCTTCTACTAAATAATCCATTGTCCAACACTTACAGAGTACTTGCTACATCTAAGGACTTGTGCTGGGGTGGAGATAAGGGGTCTTGTTAACAGATGAATGGCTTCAAATAATTTAATGCATACACAAAATCACATAACTCAATGTGAGGTTTGTAGTAAGACATGTAGTAGGATAGGAGCTATATCTCATTTATTTTTAAAATTTATTTATTTTTGGTGAGGTGGTGGTGGTTATGTGTGTGGTTTAGACAGGGCTTCACTATGTCACAGTCCTCCTACTTTAGCCTCCTGGGTTGAGCACAGTCACGCTGTGGGACCACAGTCATGCATCACTGAATCCAGTTTTTAGGGTGGACTAGGAATTGAACCCAGTCCTCCCACATGGCCTCACCTGCCAAGCAGTAGCATCCAGTGTGTGCTACCATGACTGGGCCTATGCTCACTTATTTGTGCTTATTTATTTAACAAATATTTATATGAGGACTGAATGTTCCAGGCACCATGCTAGACCCTGGGAGATAACACCTGTAAAACAGACCCAGTCTAACTTGAAAGGTCAGTTGTCTGGTCAGGGCCACTAGCTCAGCACTAGTACAAGCACTGTATGCTAATTCCAGGAAGATGTGACCAGGACCATGAAAACTCATTCACCTGGGCAAGTTTTACCATGACAGCACAAAACTGGGGGAGTTATTCCACACTTGAAGGAAGAGAAAAGCATCCTGGAAGAGATAATGCCCAAACTGGAACCTGGAGGATGAGGATTTAACCAAATGAAATATAGAGATGATGGGGTAAGAAGGAAGGAGGGAACAGCATGGAAAGGCTTGGAGACAAGGCAGAGTGTAGGACCATTAGCTGCTCAGCAGGGTAATAATTTAGAACACGAGGCATGGGAGTAGTAGATCATTATGGGTGGAAAGGGAA